GATTGAGGAAAATAAAAGATAAAGACTCAGCAATTGCTGCTAAAGTAAATAATCGCAGAATATAATATTGCTTAGAACAATTGTGCTTGATAGCGTACAAGAATTGAGAGAGATGGTACTGTAGTGTAATGGTTTCCGATCCCCTCTTTATGGGGTCTTCTCCCCTTTTATACATTCTGATTAAGGGTAAAAATAAGGTAGGTAAATTAATTACATCGTGGATCCCTGTAATTACGCCTTAATGGCCTGAAGTGGTTGAGAAAATCACGTTTGGGCGAGATATCCGGCGACGCTTGGTTATCCGTTACGAGTCCGGCTTCCGACCTTGTGTGTTTCTCCATCCGGTGGTGACTCATATCGAGCTCTGCAACGGTCTCGAAATGACTCGACCTCGGTTGTTGACGTGGCCGTCGTTCTACCTTGCATCCAGGTCGGGTTCGATGGCCCCGACTTGCCCCGGACCGGTCCCAACCCGGTCGGGCTCAAGCAAAAAGGGTATCACCCAATACAAGTGTTTTTCAAAAAAGTACATTTGGGCTACTTTTTTCTGCTTCTCCAAAGTTATTTCTGCTTCTTTTTGAAAACATTTTTTTTCTTTTAAAAGCTCGGCCAAACACTTCAATTTTGAAAAAGAAAAATACTTTTTTTTTAACAAAAAAGTACTTTTGGCCGGAGAGAAGCTCGGTCTTACTAAGAGTGGTTAAACTACATAAGAGCTTTAATGCAGCATATAGGAAGGTAAATAAATACATTAGGCTCACCTTAAGCCCCTGATCGGCATAAGGATTTGAGAAATTGAGAGGTGTCCAACACGTTTCATCCATCAAATCCTTGAAATTAGTCCCATCATCCTTCAATGGAGAAGCAGCAACCACAGATGCAGTATATATAAGCTTCTTTACTGTCCCAGATTTAAGGCAAGTCATTCCAATTTTCTTCACTGCAGCAATTGTAGCCTCAGTTCTATTTTTGTACTGTTTCACATGACCCCAAAACAAAAATCAAAATTAGTTATTAAAAAAAGAGAGAGATGAAATAGAAAAAAATTCTATAATATTGGTTCTTTTGCTTCTTTTGGAAATTTCTTGTAGTCCTAAACAAATCCTAGTAGTCACTAGAGCAAAAGGTAGTTTTCCTTGTGCATATACAACCTATAATAATAGGGGCAAGTTACCCGATTGGACATCTAAATTTAATGAGTTCGACTTTTAGAATTTTTAATTTAAAATTTACTTATTCAAAATATAATATATTAAGTAATTAAAATTTTATAATTTCTTATATATACGTCTACGTAACGTCGTTGCATGACGAAAATATCGGTTCAGGTGAGTCCATTGAACTCATGCATGGTGCTGAGGAAACTACATCCCCACCAAATCACAATAGATTTAAGTTATTACTCCCTCCGTTTCATATTGTTTGAGCTAGTTTGACTCGATACAGAGTTTAAGAAAAAAGAAGAAGACTTTTGAATCTTGTGGTCTTAAAAGAAGAAGGGGTAAAAGGTTGTGGGGCCATGCCATTTGTGTGGCTATAAAAGCTTCTCATTAAGGGCAAAAAGGGTAAAATGAAGAGTTTAAAGTTGAATTATTTCCAAATTTAGAAATGTGTCACTTATTTTGGAACAGACTAAAAAGGAAAGTAGCTCATTTAATATGAAACGGAGGGAGTAGTATATTTGAATAGTGTATGCTACTTTTCTTACTATAAGGGTGTGTTTGGTGTAACGGAAATGTTTTTCGTGAAAAATATTTTCTAAGAAAATATTTTCTTGGAAAACAAGTAGTAATCTTATTCATTTTTCGATGTTTGGTACGCAAATTAAGGAAAATGACTTCTCAAGAGTATTCATAAATAATTTAGATATAATAAACATGAAGCCATAAACTTTCAAACCAACCACCTTCCGAACCCACAAATTTCATAAACTTTCGAACCGCTAAACTTTCGAAACCGCGGAATTTCGAACCCGTAAACTTGATAATTTCTAAACCCGTAAACTTCCAATCACATAAACCTCCGAACTCATAACTTTGGAACTTGTAAATGAACCTTTAAACCGATAAATAAAAACTAAAACTGAAAAATATATTTGTAAAATATTTTTTTGGGGGAGGGGGGCAGAAAAACGAAAAGAACAGAAATTTAAAATTACAAAAAACAAAAGTAAAAAGTTTTATTTTTTTTGTGCAGGGTGGGGGGAAGGTGAGGAGGTGGGTGGTGCAGAAAAACCAAAAAATAGAAATTTGAATTGCAAAAAAAAAAAGGTAAAAAAAATAATTTTTTTGCGGGAGGGGAGTGGGAGTGGGAGGTGGGGGTGGGGTGGGTTGGAGGGATAGTAGGGTGAGCGGTAACGGAAAAATTGAAACTTGAAGAGAAAAAAAAAACCCCTTTTTTGGAGAAAGGGGGCAGGGTGGGTCGGTGAGGGTGGGGATGGTTGAGAAGGAGTTTTAGAAAATGTTTTCCCTTCTCTTAATAAGGAAAACGTTTCCTCCAATTGGAGGAAAATATAATAAGTTCATAAGGAAAATATTTTCCAAAACATTTATACTAACTAAACATAGAAAAATTAAAAGACATTTTTCGAAAAATATTTTCCTTCGTACCAAACACACCCTAAGCGTAAAACTTTTTTGAGTTACCATACCAAGTTTACTACTCCTATTAAGAATGGGATAAGAGGGATGGATGAGTAACATTGGTGGAAAGAGGGAGTGAGGACAAAAAATCATAACTGAAATCCTTCCGAATGCAACAAAGGGGTAGCAACATGGAAAACAAACTCACAGCCTTGAATTGCCAGCTCAAACTCTTCTGGTTTGTAAACATCAGCTTGAAATAATTTGAGTCTTTCATCTGCACCATGAAAGCTCTTCAACAGCCCCACCTTTGATTCATCCTCTGCACATGAGTAAAGTCGGATTCTCCAAAAGTTATGTATTTTTTGAAGATCCGACACGAGTATCTTTGAAAAATTCGAGGAGTAAAAGAAACTAATAAAGAAACATGCCTAAGTTCCTGAGGGTAGCGTGGACAGTGTAGCCTCTGTCCAAAAGTTTGTTTACAAGAGAAGAACCTATGTAACCTGCACCTCCTGTAACACAGACCTTACAGTTGCTTTTCTTCTCCATTTTTGCTGGACCTTTTATTTGCTTTATCTCTTCCTCAGACATTTCTATTTATATTCTATTCATATGGGAAATCTAAATTATTAAATAGAGCCATGTGCTTTCTGTCATATTGTTTGATCTAGATTTATCCAATACGTAGTGTTATTACAGAAACAACAAAGTCAAATTAAACACGAGAAAGTGCCACATGCTTTATGCCATAGGTTTTTAGTTTTCTTGCATTGGCTGTTTTAATATAAAATTTACAGTGCAAGTTAAAATATTGTCGAAGGACATCTGGCTGTTAGTAATTAAATAATTATTTATGTTAAGTACCAATAATTGAGGATTTAAATAAATCTTGATAATGTAAACAAAAGTCACTATATAAAAGTTAATGCTCGCTGAGTTGGTCTGTTATATATGAACCGTTAAAATTAAGGCTAGTTAATTATCTGTTGGGGTCTACGCCTAACCTCCACCATAGTTCTTTTCTTTTTTTTTTTTTTTTTTTAAAAAAAGAGGGAGACTAATTCGGTAAGGAACAGATCTGTTAAAATAGAACACGACAAAGTTTCCCCCCACGTAAATGAATTCCTGAATTTCGCAAATGAGACGTATAGCCTATTTGGCAAACTTCTAAAATCAGCTTATTTTGAGAAATGTTTTTCTCAAAAGTACTTTTAAAAGTATTTTTGATGAGAATCAGTTTGTGTTTGGCTAATTAATTTGAAAAGCACTTTTGAGCAGTAATTACCATGGAGGCTGAGCTAATTACTTTAGCTTCAGCTAGTGAGGAAGCGAATTGGTTGAGAGATTTATTATTTCAAATTCCTTATTTTGACAAACTAATTCCTCCTATTTGACTTCATTGTGATAGCACCGCTACAATTGGTAGAGTACAAAACCGTTATTACAATGGTAAATCCAGACCTATAAGGAGAAAACACAGTACTATGAGATCATATTTGACAAGTGGTACCATTAAAGGTTATTATGTTAAATCTTGTGATAATCTTGTAGATCCACCGACTAAGGCCTTAGCAAGAGAAAGGGTCTGGAGCACATCGATGGGGATGGGATTAAAGCCCACAAGCTCATAAGTCATATATGAGGAAACCCAACCTAGGGACTAGAGATTCTATAACCAGGTTCAATGCGAAGAACGAATCATATGATGACTTGATTTGAATTGCACTATTTTTTATTGTTCCATCTCTATCGTGCGAGTGCATTTATCCTGTCATGATTTGTGAGGTTGAGTTTTATTAACTTTTAATGAAAATATGTAGCTCGTATGAGTGGGGTGTTAGAGTTAATTACAGGAGCACCCTTGATAGATTTCACCTATGTGAGTGTGGAAGTAGGCCGCTTCCTATGAGAATTAGGCTTGTTATCAAAAACACTCATGAAAACCGGGATAGCACAAGGCTGTAATGTGCTGGCTAATAAAGCTCATGTCAACACCTTGATTATTATGTGTAAGCAGTGATAATTTATTTCCCTAAAGCAGCCCTAGTTCAAGTCTGAGACCACTACTGACTCTGGAGTAAAGATCGTTGTTTTGCTAATAAGTGGAGGTTCAATGCAGAGCACACCTTCATTATGCATAATAGTCTCCCTTTAACTGGTAAATTCTCTTATTTTAATATAAAAATGAGTGGGGGAATGTTAGTGTTTTAGCATTTTATTATTAAAATAAAATATGTCATAACTCCCACTACTCCATGATGAGAAAATGACTATAACTCTTTTGTAACTCTTCTCCCCATGTTCTACCACTAATTACACATGAATTTATCCATTATCCCATGTTCTCCATGATTTCATAACTTACTACCCCACTTTCTTCTAATTTGATTCAAGGAAGAATTTCTACACCTATAAATATGAGTCTTTCTTCCATAATGTGGTATGTGAAAAATAATTGAGCGTATTTCAATAAAGTGAGGTTAAAGTTGTGAAAAAGAAGAAGAGAGTTTTTACTTTTGTTGAAGGAAGGTGTTCATCTTGGTGGAGCTTTGGACTCAACAACTTGTCCAGAGTTTGTTCAAGTCATACGATGTGATCGGATTGTTGTATCCTGGGGGAGACAAGTCAAGAGTATTACTGCTGGACCAGTGAAGACTTTGCTGCAGTGGGTGATCGCTGCCGACTCGACACTACACTAAGATAGGAAGAGCGGGTCGCAATAGCTTTTACCCGAATAGTGGTTCGGGATCGAATTTCCACAGGGAGCTAGTAGTGGAGTTGTAGTATCTGTCTAGTCTAGAATTGCGGTTGTGCTTCTAATATCACTTCAAACATCATTGGTTTTTCTTTGATTTTTATATCTACTATTATAAGACTAATGTTTAGAACTAAATTATGCTACGTAAATATTGCTAAGTTGTATTTAATATAAAGAGAGGCACTAGGGTCGTGGCATTGCCTAGGTGGCTAATTAACGGGTAGATGCTACTAAGGAAAGATTGACATATTTGGGGTTTATGCTATAACCGTTGCACAATTGTACCCACTCTCACACCTCTCGGTAGAGAGAGTGATTTTGCCCAATTGACTCTCTCGAGACCAATTGGATAGGCCAATTAGACCAAGCCACTAGGGTTCAAGTAGGGTGATTACTCTCTCGAGATTTAACCCGTTAATTGTGACTACCATTTCTCATGGGTCCATCCCAATTCCTTGTTGGGTCAATTTTGGGGTCATAGACTCTCTTTCTCAAGAAGAGTTAAACCCACCAAGCTAGAATCAGTGTTTAGAACCACCAATCCTTAATTAAAACCTAAAATTAACCCAAATAACAAACACCCAATATCAATCTAACCTTAGATGGCAACACCCATCAATTACCCACACTAGGGTTGAGCCACAACCCTAGCTAGTGAGTTTAGCTACTCATGCTAGATGCAAAAATTAAAGAAATAGATGAAGAAGTAAACATATTAATTAATTGCTAGGAAGAAAATACAATATTGAAGAGCAAAAGTGCCAAAAATGGCTAAACTATTCGGTCTCACGAGCTCAGCTGCTTCAGAAAATAAAACTTGACCTAAAATGGAAAAAGGTCCTATTTATACTGAGCTGAAAAAACTGGACAAAAATACCCCTGCGGGGTCAGCGCGGACCGCGCAAACATGACCGCGGCCGCACTGGCTCTTGAACTCTTGGTTTCTGCTTCTCTGAAGTTGAGGACCGCGGACCGCGTGGAAATGTAGCGCGGCCGCGGTGGAAGTTGGCGCGGCCGTGCAGAAATGAACGCGGCCCGCTTTGCTTGGAAGTGGTCAAATTTTGGCTCTCTGAATCTCTGCTCCGCGGACCGCGTAAAAGAGTAGCGCGGCCGCGGAGCCTGAATAATTACGATATACCTTTTGGCGCCGGAAATTTGTGTGATATACTCTGACGACTTGACTGCCAGGTATAGCGTTTGGAATTAAAATGTTATACATATATAGCGCCTGAAATTAAAACGATATACATGTTTATGGGCCCACCAATAAGTTAACTGACATAACAATAATTCAAATGTGTATAGCGCACATTCAAAGAGCGCTATACATCAAAAATTTCAGCCCCTCGGGCTAGCCATTTCCTATATAAAGGGGTTAGGATTTTAGGAAAATCCATTCACAAAAAATTCTAACTACCCGCT